CACCAATTAGAGTCATCTTTCTCAGACTTGTTAATTATTCAAATTAGCTGGGGGCTCTGTAAACATTTAGATTCCCAGCTCCTCTCCAGAGAGTCTAAGGCAGGGCCCAGAAATCTGTATTTTTAAATAAGCTCTCCTCATCATGAGTGTCATGATCTAACAATTTTGGTAACCACTGAACTAGAGCGTTCCCCAAGATGTGGCAGTATTTTTCTTCATGAATATGCACCATTCATCTTTAAGGACCAACAAAGTCTTACTGGAAACAGGGTTTTTTAATTTTCTTTTATGGAAAATCTGAATAGAGATTCAGTTTTTTAAAACTTATACTTTTAGAGATCCTGGATAATTTCAGGGAGAGAGGTGAAAAAGAATATTACCATCTTTTTTATTCCTCAAAGAAGAAAGCTCCTATGGTGTGAATTTAGGTTTATTTAAATACCTTGACATTATGACTAATATATTGGATGAGAAAAGCCATTTTCAATTCTAATTTTTCCATATAAGTACACTTACTGAAATTTATTATTGTTTTTCTTTGGCTTATAACTTGAAAAATTAAATACCGAAAGTGTCTGTCAAGTTTTGCAGTTTTCCTGCTAAGTGCAGCACAAAACAGCTCCAAGAGTATAAAACAAATGTCACTTTCATAAGAGCAAAGGAACATTTGACTTGCAAATAAAAAATGTACCTGAATCCATGCTGTAGAGAAATATAGAAGTTAGTTAAATGTTAGAAAATCCTGTAGACTATAAAGTGAAAAATAAAAATGTGTAGACTGTGATAATAATTCCATCACAGGCTCAATTACAAGAAATTTAACGTAGAATTTCGGTAAAAAAATGCAGAATAGTAAAGTAAATTATAATTCTTGTGAATGCTGTGGGAGGGTAGTCAGAAACTGACATCTCAGTGAAGAGAACATTATTTTTAGCCAATTGACTTTTGGTATGTATGTACACATACACATACATATACATTACTATGAATATTTAGACACTCCTATGTACATATATAATTTTTCTTTGGCATTTATCTTCTGAGGCTTAGTCAGTTCTGACTAATAAAAATCACAAAGGGCATTTATACATTTTTAGAATTTTATACCACTTATTGTAAAACTAGAAAATTGCTATATTTTGAGATTGTTTTTCTGAAGTAATCTTGTGTCTGGATCTACATGAGACTTCCACATCCACACCCCCAAAATGTATTAAAGCAAGCAGTCAATAAATACAGAAGGCACAAAAGAAGACTTAGAAACTTTTGTTTATGAATATTTCTGTTTGAAATGTGCATCTATAAAACATCTCATGGACACATGTTTTGCCCTGAAACATTCAATTTATTTATTATATTTGTCTAAATGAAGGCTTGTGGTTGAATAGGCTCTTGTAAATATTGAAGAATTTTTTTCCCCTTATGGAAAGTAACCATGGAAAACAAGACACAAATAATGGTAAGAATCAATAGGAGATGGCTTATTTAACCTCAGAAAACCTAATTGCTAAGCAGTGGCGGGCCCTTTTAAAGAGAAGAACACATTCATAAAAAATATATGAAATCATAGATTAAATATCTACTAATAGTGATAATAAAACAAAGCACAATAATTATTTTAATATCTATCAAAACATATTTTGATTAATATAGGTATATGTATATTTGCATGTATAAAATGTTTATCTTTCCAAGGGATTAAAGAATTTATGCAATACATTTTCTCATTTATTTTATAAAAGTTCCTTCTATGTAAAAATGAAAAGGTCCCTGTACTTGTAGTTCCTTCTACATAAAGAATTTCTTTATGATAATATTAATTGTTACATTTTAATCTATAGTTTATTGGTGACAATTGTCTCCCTCAATAGTAAATAGTAAACTTATTTATCTAGGCTTTTCTCTATTGTTCCTAATTAGTTATAATATTATATGTAAATTAGTTAGACTTAATTTTAAAATTTCCAGTTAAGTTGGCTGAATTTAGCCAATTGTCATATGTTTACACTAAAATGGCTTACATTTTCAGAAATTTTTACATTGTACAGATAATAGAATGACTAATTGTTTCACATGAGAATTCTGGCTCACATTCTTTTCTGTAAATAGCATGTGTCAATCTACTCTAACAATTTTCTAACTTGCCTTGTGGGAGTATATTTCTTTCTTTATAATAAGATTTATTTTGATTAAAAGTTTGAGGTGATACATATCCCAATTAGCTTTATTTGATCATTATACGTTGCATATATGTATCAAAATACCATATGTACCCCCAAATATGTACAAGTATATCAATAAAATAGATTTATTTTGACAATATCCAAATCATATGTTATTATAAATATGGTTCCTACATACATGAATTTATAGCTATAATTGCTTGTGCTTGTGGAGATAAGTTTCTGGGGCCCTATATTCATTCAAAGTTTAAATGTACGCCACAAATTCTAAAGCAATCACTAAAATAACAAAACAAAACATTATTGATAAATCCACAAGGAGATATAATGGAATCATTGAAAATTCTGTTAATCTAAAAGAAGGCAAAAAATAGGAAAAACAAAGAAAAGGAGTGACAAGCAGGAAATAGATAACAAGATGATAGATCTAAACACAATTACACTGTTAGTCATATCAAAGATAAATGGTCTAAATGCTCCAGTTAAAAAGCAGAGAAAGATGAAAAAAAGGAGACCACATTATATGTTGCGCAGAAGAAATACATTTCAAATATAGAGCACAAACAGGTTAAAAGTAAAAGGATGCAAAAATCATATACCAAAAACATATATTGAGGTAGCATTAATAAAAAGACATCTGGCATACCTTTCTTAGTAACAGACAATGTAGATTTCAGAGCAGAAAATATTGGGATAAAGAAGTTCATTTTTCAATAGTAAAGGCATGATTTGATCAAAAGGACATTAAAATCCTAATTGTTTATGTACATTTTAATAGAGCTTCAAAATATGTGAAACAAACACTGGTATAACAGCAGAGAGAAATAGACAAATTCATAATTGTATTTGGAAATATTCACGTCTCTCTCAGTAGTTGACAGTGCAAGTAAATAGAAAATCCGCAAAGATATAGGAAATTTGAACAACAGTATCAAGCAATTTGACCAACTTGACACAAAAATTTTACATATGTTTCAGATTGAGATAATGAAATAAAATACATTAATGTGCAAATGTCTAGTTTATCAATTGAAAAATATTTAAAAAGTATTCACATATTAAATCACTTGTTCAATATAAATGGAGATGAAGAAATATTTCAACTGTTCAATATTTTTCTTAAGATTTTTTCCCTAAATTAACTTATATAAAGATTTTGTTATTACGGATGTGCTTTGTAGTGAATCCTATACATGGACAAAGGATGATAATACTTATCTGTCTTAAAATTAATTTCAAGCCTGTATAATTGATGAAGTTTAAAAAATTTTATCTTATGAAAGATATACTTTTTATGAATGAGAGTACCTACTGTAAAAGGTGAAAAATAGGAATAGTTATTTGAAATAAATTATGGCAGACGTTTGTCTATGGCTTATAAAACAACTTTGAAGATAATTTTACAAAATGCCCAATATTCATTCAAACTATGATGTTATTGATTATCAGCCATGCCATTGTTTTTATGTTCTTCTAGGAAAGAATAAGTGCTCTCAATTAAATGTTGACACTGTTATATAGCAGTTTCTAAGATGTTAACATGTAAAATGTGTATGTGTCCTAAGATGTTAAATGGGTGTGCTCTGAGATGTTAAAATGTGAATAGATGTGGCTTTTAAATCTAATCTTTTAAAATCTGTATCTAAAAACCTGTCTCCTTTAAAATAAATTTTGTGCAAACTGAATTCAGACTCTGTAGAATCACTGAAATAGCTATTTCGGACCTAGTGTTTTTTGGGGAAATTTATAAATTATTTGCCTTAAATACTTGAAGTAAGAAAGATGTTTTCAACCTCCCCATTGGTTAATAGTGAAATAACACTAATGGAAAAAAAGCGCCATATAACACGGAACAAAATCATTATTAATTCAGAAATACATAATATATATAAAAGAATTCCTTATATTTTTCCCAAAATTCTTGAGCTAAGAGTTTTTACTGATGTCTTCAGAAAGTTGACATTCTTTGCACAAAGACTCTAGGCAATGAATTAACTCAATTTAGTGAGAGTACAACTGAGGTTATATTTTAACACCTGATCCCAATTAGTCATTGATCGTGCCCCTGAGCACATTCACTCTCCAGGGTCCCACAGATAATGAGACCAGTAGATACTATGAAAATATGTTCACAATGGTAAGAAGGTTTTAAAAAAGAAATTAGAAATTGTATGGTGCAGAATTGTATGGTGTGTGTGTATACTGGTGTATATATGTATGATTAAAAGCAGATTACATATTTCAAAAGAAAATTAAATCTATATATTAAAATACAATCAAGGAAACTGAGCAAATATCTCATTTTTTATTTTGATGAGGTCTATTTAAATTGGTCTATTTAAAAAATTCCTAATTGTCCAATAATCAAGAAATTTAAAATGTTTAAAAATAATTTGGTAACCTATGAAATATTTTTCTCCAAAGAAAATTTGTTCTAACACTAGTAATTATTTTAATTAAGAAAATAAAAGTAGTATGTGCTCCAACAATAACTATATACATGCACCTTATAATAAATTATTCAAGCTTCTATTAAGTTTAAAAAATATAAAGTGAATCTTATATATTCAGATCTTAGATCATTGACAGTATGGAAAATGTTATCAGCAAAGCAATTTCTTTTTTCCTACAGGTTGCACCATTACATACTGGACTACAAACTCCTTTACAATAATATTCTTTAAAACTTTTTGTTTAATATTCATTTTCAGTATATGTAGACATTTTCAGAACAAATATATAAGCAGTTCATTCAATTAAACTGCATACAATCTGATCCTCCACTTCTGAACTTTGTAAATCACTTGGATGACTTACCTTATCTTTCCTTTGCTTTTCATCCTGGTATACAGTCCAGTGTTCTCCATCATTGCTGTAAGCTAGTTTGTAGGAACCAACGAACTGTACGTGACCAAAATCTTTAGCTCCTTGTGTAATGATGCCGGTCACTTTGGTAGGAACAAGAAGGTCCACCTAAAAGAAGGAAAAGACATAAGTTAAATGCAATAATCAAGTCTCATAAATTTGCAAGTGTTTTGAACTCAAGAGATTAAAAACCATTTGTGCATGCTAAAACCCCAAATCAGCCTAGTTATTTGTATTTTGAAATCAATGACTGAATCTTTTGTTGGCTTATAGTTTTGATTCTGCCACTGGATAAATCTAGTCCAAGACTCCTTGAATAGCTATTTTGGCCATTTTAAAATAAAATTATGTTAACTTCAGTCCACCAATTAATTTTATATTAAACTGATTCATCTATTTGTATGGTTTTGCGTAACTGAGATAGAACAGAACTAGCAGGGCTGCCCTTTTAGAGACTGATCATTATCTCCATGAATTTGTGATTATAACTCAATATACTGAATCTTTTGGATAATTCAATAAAAATAAAAATACAATTATAGCTGTGTGGACATCAGGAACAAACATGGTATTAGATATTTCATCATTAAACATTAAATAATAAGTCAATCCTGTTTCTATGAATTTTAATCAATTTGATAATATATAATTGAGTAAGAATTAGTAATCATTGTCCAGTGAAAATCCTCTTTTAGAAAACTAAGATCCTAAAAAGTCAAGTATTTTTCAAAAATGAAGGAAGATTAAAAATATGCATTCTTGACTTGTGGGATCTGTGCTCATAATGTATTCTTTTCTGCAAAATATATACTTAAAAGGGCATGAGACCCATGGCAATTTCATTAGCATTAAATTCATAAAAATGTAATTGAGGCCGGGCGCGGTGGCTCACGCCTGTAATCCTAGCACTCTGGGAGGCCGAGGCGGGCGGATTGCTCAAGGTCAGGAGTTCAAAACCAGCCTGAGCGAGACCTCGTCTCTACCATAAAAATAGAAAGAAATTAATTGGCCAACTAATATATATAATATAAAAATCAGCTGGGCATGGTGGCTCGTGCCTGTAGTCCCAGCTACTCGGGAGGCTGAGGCAGGAGGATTGCTTGAGCCCAGGAGTTTGAGGTTGCTGTGAGCTAGGCTGACGCCATGGCACTCACTCTAGCCTAGGCAAGAAAGCGAGACTCTGTCTCAAAAAAAAAAAAAAAAAAAAATGTAATTGAAATGCAAAAGATAAGGATAATTTTCATCAAAGAAGAATATATAACATAGAATAGTTTAATGTTTCCCTCTTTGTTCTCTAATTCATTCCTGCATCTTTTCTTATATCATATACTGCTAATTAAAAAAAAAATCTATAAAGCTTTGTTTTCCATGTGGACGACTCTTATAAGAATTTTACCTTTCATTTTATTTATGTTCCTTGATCTACAGCTTCCGCTCTCCTCTTATAATAGATACCTACTTCCCCCTATTTCCTGTGACTAAGTGCCTGGCTACATCCTTGATCTTATCATCTTTAGCTGTCACGATCCCATGTGTGATCTTGGTGCTTTCAACCACTATGTCCTTTGGTTTCTATTTTAGGTCCTCTATCCTGTGAGATGTAAGGTAGTTACAAATAGATAGTCATGGGTCAGGCACAGGGCATGAATGAGAAAGAAAGTTAGAGAGGATGCATAGAATAAGGCCATATTTAGTGACAGAGATCCTCATCAGTAAAGATGTGAAAAAAGTCCCCACTGTGTCACAGCCTGTGAATATAAATATTTTTTAATTCACATGGGCATTTTGGTCATTTTTTGGAACACGTGTCAAAGACATTAGGTTCAGATTGAGCAACAGATTAAGATAGACTATTTTTAATGCTTTATTAAAACATTTCATAAAATTTATCAAAACTTAAAAGTTATTTTGTTTGCTATTTTCCAAACATGTATCATCTAAAATACCTTGTGCGTCCAGCAAAAATACAGGATGGTAAAATTATGATATCCTGGGAAGGAAATGGTTACTGTCTTACATCATGCTAAGTGTTTTCTTGTATGGTCTCATTTAATTCTCTCAATAACTGTGTGAGGTAGGATATAATCTACATTTTATAGATGAGGGGATGGATACCCAGACAGGTAACATTATGTGGTGTGTGATCCAAAAATAAACAGTAAATAAAGTAGGATCCCATATTCAAATCCATGTCTTTCTGATTCAAGGGTTTACCACAGTTGGGGATTCTTAGAGTAATGGATCAGTCATTGATTTTCCCAGTGAGTGATCACTCGTTGATGACTCATATTTTCACTCAGTGATTTCTTCCCATTCCCTGTGGCTACTTCAGAAATTTCTAAAGAATCACCACACTCATCAAAGTGACAAAAAGCAATCTTGGATTTACAATGTTAGCAAAGCCCTGTGTTTAATTATGAATTTACTCTCTGTTCTTCGGCTGTTTAGGCTTAAAAACTGCTTTTGTTGTCCTAAATCCAAATCTTATTTCACAGAGACACCAGGGCAAAGCTGCTATTCTTCAATGTCTTCTTAGTGTTGCTGGTTTTCCATAAATGGTTAAAAGAAAAACCTTCCAGAGCTCTGTGTCACTACATTGCCATCACAAGCTGGAAACAAACAGGAACTCAAACAGTGTCACCGAGGATATGGACACCTCCAGGGTTGACTTCTTTAGGCCCTAAACTTCTATAAGTCCGTAGCTAAGAGGACACAATGAGGAGACTTCTAGCATCCCCTTTTCTATGGTATTTTTTAGAAGTCAGTTGGGTTTCCTGCTGGGTGGAGATGTTTTCTCCTTAATTTGTGTGTCTTGGCTCTTTACAACAGATATGTTTTTCTCCCACTCTAACTGCTCCCCTTCTCCAATATTTTTTCTATCTAGAAATGTTTTTCTTTTTTGTTCCAGTTAAGCCAGTCTCTCTGCTTAAATAGTCAGCAATCTGTTTCAAGCTGGATTTTGTCCTAAAATTTGTTACATTAAACTTAAAATACTAGGCCTAAGCAAACCTTCTTTCAGTACAAAAATAATCAGCAACTCACACTTAACATGAGGTTGCTGAAGCAGGGCATGAATAGAACCCATTCTGAGAAACACTTAGACCACGTAACTCCAAAGTTCAGCATGAAGGATGATTCTAGAAAAGCCCATTCCTTAGGACTGAATGCTTACCCCTTGCCTAGGACCACTTTGCCCTCTTGTAGAACTTCTGAGTTAAAGATGAATTGCCAAAATGCTTGACAAAATATCTTCTGCTTTTTTAGACCCTCATCCCCCAAAGTATGCCTAAAATAGAGCAGGTTATTTAGGAAACTAAGCTGACTTACTAGTAGACATTTGGCTTAGTGCACTGTGCTCCATGTCTAGATCTGTCTTAAATGTGCCTTACATGTAATGGGCTCTCTATAAAAGTTTTGCTGATTGAACAAGAACTATTTCATTAGTATGTTCTGTGGATAAGAACCAACCCATGGTTAATGATGCCACTATGCATCCTTTCTCCTAGGTTTTCTGTGTGGGCATTTCCTGTCAGGGAAATACAATGTCACCTTTGTAGCTTTCATTTTTTTACCGGAGAAGGTAACTCATTGAAAAAATCCTCTCCAGTCTTCAGGAATTCGATTGTAAGAATCAATCTACTCTAGTGGATCAGAACGGTTTGAGGTTCTGAACTGGCTATATGCCCTGGTGCAAGCTAGTACACCTCTCTACATCTCAATTTCCTCATCTGAAAAATGATAATAATAATCCCAATAGGATTTTATGAGGATGAGTTAATACTTATGAAGTGTGTACAGCAATATGTAGACTTATAGTAAGTGTTATAGAAAACTTTGATAACAAGATGAAATAAATAAATCTGAGGGAACAATTTAATGTCAGTCTCAGAGTATCTTGTTAGAAGGCTATAGAAACAGGGAAATGAATGGCTAGATTGTTCCAGAAACAATTTCTGGTTCATAATATATTTTATTCACCTTCTCAGGATGTATACAAACATAGTCATTTCATTGTTACTTAAAGTAGAGAAAATGTGAAACAATTTCATTTCCCATTTATGAGTGAAATAGTTAACTAAAATTAATTAACAAATTTTGTGGAAACTTATGTATCCCTATTTAAATATTGGTTGTGTTGCAGCCAACACAACCCAGAAAATGGTTCTAAAATAATATTAAAAGAGAAAATTAGATTAAAAGAGAAATATTAAAATAATATTAAAAGAGAAAATTAAATTCCAAATTGTACTGAGTGATTTATTTCATTCTTAGAGTCAAAACAAGAGAGAAAGGAAACTTATGGAAATGAGGCTTACATGATACAAAAGTAAATAAAAAGTATTTCATGAGAGTTATGTGGGAATATAAATTTTTTGTTGTAAAACATCCTGTAATGTTTTAGAAAAGCATAAATAGTTCTAGAAAATGTCTAACTTAGACAAATTATGTAGAAAATCTGTGAGCATTCATTTGAGAAAGATCAAGATAAACTACATTTCAGACACCTGCACAGCACCTTGATGTTGGCTCTATGGTAGAAGATGGGGCAGACTGGAAAAGTAATCTTATTTTCCTTGAAGGGGTGAGGAAAATGAAAAGCGACACAGATAAACAGATGTACAAGAAAAGTAAACACAGGCTAGAGATTTATCACAGAACTGTACCACTCAGCTGCACTTAAATGCTCTAGTTTTTGCTTTAACATTTTTTATTTTGGATTATGTAATTTACAACTTAATGGAGCTTTGTAAAATTAACTCATTAATTAACAAGTTAATTTTATAGAATTAACTTATTATTAAGTAGAAATAAATTCAAAGCTAATATAATTAAGTAGTACAGTATTTGAAAATCACAGTATAGGCAAGATATTTGGATATTTTGATTTCAATAAAATTTTTTTTTATCTTAACATTACACAAAACAATTATTTTTAATTCCAGATACATTTAAGGCACATCCTGAATTTATGTGGCATTTGAACAATATTGTTGGTTATCAGATATTGGCTACACTTTTATTCTACATTTGCAGGCCAACTAGTTAATGAGATCAACTTAATATGAAGTATTATTCAGCCACTGTATCTGATTTGATCTAATCGTTCT